ACAAAACAACACATAGTAAATTGTAAAGACTAATGTTACGTCACATTTTAATTTGTTCTATTTAAAATTACGAGAAAAATCAACTGCTTATTTTTATACGTTTACACCTGAGCACCCATAGAGCCATATTCGTTACATCAATAATCCTTTTGCATGTAACAAATAAAAATTATTGCGTGTTTTCGTTTGTATCTTTTGTATGTAAATTGGCTACTTGCACAAGTTTTTGAAATAAATTTTTTCTTTGCATAATTTCTTTGTTTTGTTTTTTTTTGCAAATGCTTTACTCATTCTTTGAACAGTCGGTAATTTAATTTTTGCATTAATCCACTTATTGCTTGACTTAATAAAATGCCATAAATAAAAAACTACATTTATGTGGAATCGCTGTTACAATTTAATAGTTCTTAAAACACAATTTGTATTATAAGCGGATCTGAACGTTCAGACATTAGAAAATTACTTTGGAACATTTGGTTTTTGAATTATACTAATCGTGTTATGGCCCTATCACTTCTAAATTGATCATCAACCATTGTGTTTTTGCCGTTAATTAATCATTAATAAACACATTATATGCTTGCACGTTGACAGAATATTTATATGTAAAAATGCTGTCCCAAAATAAATAATACGTCTAAATAATGGTACGTTTTGCTTTATTCGGGGTATTTCTTATTAGCAATTAAATAATCAATTAAATAAACTAATTCTTTTTTCGTAAGCAAAATATATCAAACTACGTTTTTTGAATTGCTCGACACTTAAAAGTGTGTGGTCAGCCGAGAAATAGAGTTCAGTTGTGATTCTTGTTTCACCGTATTCGGTGACGCAGTCGTTAGGACTGGCCTCAGTCGTCGTACGATGGGGTTTAATTGAAAAACATGCGGAGAAAAGACGGTCGTTCAATCACCGTCTCCTGTCAGGATTCTCGACACCAGTTAGACTATTTTTTGCGGTTAAAATCGGGATCTAGGTAATAGTGCATAAATTTATATAGGAGGACTTTTACTATACGTGGGGAGTGTCGCAGTACATGCTTTGTTCGAGACTAATCGAGAAGGCCATTATGAAACAATATTTAGTAAAACTAATGGATTAGAATAATCTACTTGCGTGAGAGAGAGTTCACATATGTATTAAATCGTAATACCTTAACTGTACGGCTTGATCTTGATTTCGGATAGGTATCGAAGGGTTGATATATGTAATCGTGAGGAGAACGCAGATCCTGAGGAGCAGTCTTCTATGAGCACAAGTAACATTATTATTGAGGTAAGACTTCTAGAAAAATCTCAAAAGAAATTTTTCCTAGAAAACTTCTCTCTTTTAGTACTAGTTGAAAACTTCGTCTCGTGTTGTATGGAATGACTTTTTTCTCTTTGGAAATTCGAAGATTTGTGTCGAACTCTCGGAGAACTCTTATCTATCGAAACTTGTGAAGATAGCAGGAAATGGTTCTTTGCATTGTAACATGTTTACCCAATAAAAATTAAGGATTTTCTGTACGTCAACGGGATGTTTGGAGATAATCGATGGAGGTGAATATTTACATGAAGTCCAAACTTACTGTGTGGCAAGTATAATTTGTAAATCAGTACACTGTGATATANGCGGCTCCCATGCATTTTGCAAAACCTACATTTCGGCTCCCACTGAACTCTTGTTTGCCTACCCGTGGTATATATAATGATTGATCAATTATTGACTATGCAGACTACATTGCCGCCACAATTACGGTTACAAAAAAATTTGATTCGTGATAGGGTGCCAGCAAAGATAAGAGATGCCTAATATATGTTTTCCTTCATTTTATCCATTTTTAAAAACTCTTTTCGCCCTGTGGGCACTAAGAGGACCTGGCCAGGTGGTGAGGGATGGAGCCCCGACATACCTGGTATATATCCGGACTATCCCCGAAAAATTCCTGGGAATATTTCGACTCGTCCGGATTCGATCCCGAGTCTTCCAGAGCGGTAGGCTGCCTGGGCCATCCGACCGTCGACCATTTTATCCATTTTGAATGCATGTACTGTACTGTACAATACACGTGTTTGCATGTTTTAACATGTTTTTTAAGAATGTTTACGGGACATTCTAATTTTCAACGTTGACTCAGCGTTCGTTAAAATTCGTTCCTTTTTTCAACGTTGAGGTACCGCTCTTGTCAGCGCTGACTCAACTCACTCAGCACTCAACAGATATGTTGACTAGTGATGTAACGAATATTCGGTTACTATTCGGTATTCGGCCTATTTTTTGCTATTCGGCCGAATACCGAATACCTAAAAACAGGAGTAAGAAATAATAAAAACACAGTAAATTAATCATTTTGATATTTAGATTTAATGTTATCAGGTTAGTGTTCTTTGTTTATATTTATTTATAACTGATAACATGCACAAAATAAAAAAAAAACACATTACAAAGATCAGCACATGTACGTACACCTATTCGTTCGAGAATCGTCGCACATCTGAGGGTCTGACTCTGACTATCCTTCTTTTTAAGCGCTCGTCTTTGCTCTTCCCTTTCTCTTTCTTCTATCGCTCTAGTCCACGTATGCGTATGCATACATCATAATACGCTCTCACGATACTTTCGATTCGTCACTTTTCCGTCGTAGATTTCCCATTTTACAATTACTGTATGTGACTCATAGCCTGGTGATAACGGATAAAAGAGACAGATAGGGCGTCGGTATAAGTCACAGTTATGATTTCACAGATTCGAAACAGCTTGGTAGCCCGAACGACCCCAGGCTTTCGCCCGTGCACACTAAGTGACTTTCATTACAAGCATTTAGCTTTCCGAAGTCTATGACAACAATTGTTTAGCATTCACGGCCGCGAATTTCGCGCCAATAAGCTGCCTCGACTTGTTCTAGGCAGTTTATTGAGTTGATAAACATAATCCATAATCGACTTGTTCGATTATGTTATCAACTCAATTTCATATTTATTTTCACATTTTCACTTTACGGTCCTTCTCTGTTCTTCTTCCGTTATTTACACGTGTAGGTCATTCCATTGTTATCCACATTTGATATCATCACTTATCACATACTGCCATGACGCTCTTGTGTGAACTGTCAAGAATTAACGCGATTGGCAAAGCGTAGTGACAGTGGGCCAATAGAGAGCAGGGTCCTTGCCACAATGTGGTTTGCGCACCAATTTTCGTACGTGCGTTAATCAAGCCGAATAGTTCGGCTGAATATACTATTCGTTGCAACACTAATAGTTATATTTCCATAAAATTATCTTGCAAATGTTAAATTATACTATAAAATCTTAACTTTTACAATAATAACTTATTATTATTGTAAAAACTAGAATTCTTTACTATGATTTAACATCGGTTTAATATTAATATACAATATTTGAATTAATGACAGAATAAAATGTAATCAGTTAAATAATCATGCTAATTTTTACTTGTTAATTTTTCATTCTTTTCGTAAGAAAACTAATTTCAGAATTACAAAACTATTCTATGCATAGTTTTATATCTTAACATCATGGGAAATTGATACAAAACTGAAAAAATCAAGTCTTTACTGTAAATTTTTGAAGAAAACTGTAACAGAGCAACATATAAAAAAGATATAATGAAATAGTCATTGTTACTTTTTTATTTGTTTGACTTGATATTAAAATAATTATTCCTTATTTTAACATCAAGTCAGATAAAAAATATTTTCAATAAAAATATGGAAGAATTTTCTTTCCCAGTTCTGTTATATACAACAGAGGGAAAGTATGACAATAGGTCAAGAAATGATCCCCCCAAAATTTTTACATTTCTGGACTCAAAAGATCTTGAATTGTTGAGAAATGGAAAAAATTTGGTTTTTTTCTGTATGTATGGATGTTAAGTGTGTGTGGGAGAGGATAAATTTGTTCACCCACTTTGAAGGTTAATAACTCCATACTTTTTGTCAAAAATTTCTGAAATTTTGTAGGAAGATTTGTGTATTAGTGGGATTTATGCTATTAAATTTTGGTTATTAATGATTGGGGGAGTGGGGACAATATAGAAGGTTATGCATCATATCTCTAGTAGGGTCAGACTTAATAGGTTTTACTTGTTATTAGTATTTACAATTTTTTATAAAACTCATCGCTACCCTAAAAATTATGCTTTTTGTCATTTCATAGTAGTTAATTATATAAAAAGCTTTTTAAATAAAATATCATAACAGATGACACCACATGCAGTTTTAAATAATGTTGCCAGATTTTTTCACAAGCTCTTATTTAAAATTACTGTTTTGTTTTTCCTAGACTGTTAAAGAATTATAATTTGAAATTTTTTATACATTTTTGATTTCTACTTAATATGCACCTTTTCCTCGTCCTTACCTCAATAATAAATAAGATATAATGGTTAAATCCAAATTTACCTTTAAATATCTTTTTTCAACTATAGTAATAAAATAGTAACATTCAGTAACTTGGAAATTTTTAGTTTAAATAAATCATTTATTCATATCATTATTATTTTTATTTCAAATAAAATGCCTTACTTGAAAAAGAAAAACAATGCAATTTTTTGAATTACAATACCCTATAAAATAAATAAATTTATGTTTGTTATTATGTTTCAAAGAATTTTATTTATATAATTTTGTATTTGAAAGACATGTTTGTCTTTCTTCTGTAAAAAAAGAAATTATGTGATTTATTTTCAATGTATTTCACTTGTTAATGCAAATGTTTATAATACATAATAAAGAAATTAATATAATAAAATTTAAACAGAATTTATAATTTAATATGATATGCAGTCTTTCTATTAACATGAATTTCTGTTTAGAATCTTCACTTTAGCTTTTGAATTTTATGAAAATTGTATAAATGTTTATTGTGTATGAAATGTATTCAATATTTTGAATTTAAAAAAAACCTGAAATTTGTAACTATATTGAAACTAGAAATAATTTTTTCAATTTTAATTTTTAAATGTTTTTAATTATTAAAACATAACAAGAATACCATAATAAGATAAAATCTCTTACTGAGATAAAATATGATTCACAAAAATAATGCAGATGAAGAATACTTTAATTGTACAAAGTAATCAATGAAATTAATTGACATTCAGCATAAGTCTCTGTTGTTGAAAAATAATTCATATCTTCATATTAAATAATAAAACAAAACCTGCTATCAAATTTTTGAGATATCCTACAAATATAAAAGCAATAAATAATTATTTATTTTTCCTAATTAACAAAATAGTAGTAAATAAAATTAAAACTAAAAAATACCTTTTGAATCTGACTTGGAAATCTTGAAATATGTTGCTTTGCACACTTTACACAAAATCTTTGAATGTAAAAAATACTACAATTCTGGAAAATATAGTATATTCAAATATAAAAAAATTGCACTATAAACCTATTGTCTGGTGTCAGTAATGTACTGCATGAACATTTTTTAGCTCCTATGAAGTCCTGTTTCAGGTAAATCCTGTTGTTTCATTGATAGAACACATTCACAAAAAATAAATAAAAATAAAAGTTTGAATATCTCTTAAAAAACAAACAAACAAAATCCAAGGTCTGTTAAAAAACAAACCAATTTAAAACAAATGGAACATGTTGGAGTGCTTGCTTTAACAATACAGAAAGCAGAACAAAACACCATATGTCAGTATGGGCATGCACAAGAGATCCTATGACAACTAAAAACTTTAGTGCCGGTTCACAAAGGGCCTGACAAGTTGAAGATAGAAAAAGTTCCTCTGTGTTTGATACACATGTTATTTATTGTTTGCTTTAAAAATTTCTAAGGCTTCTAAATATCTAAGCCAGTTGGTGTGTTACATTGTTATTAGAATGCTAGTTTGTTGTAAGTGCACCTCTGTATCCTCTATTAGTGCATTATTTTTGCTCTCCTTAGAAATGTGAAGGACCTGCCCAACCCCCATAAGCTTCTGAGCATATACTGCCTATGAAAGACACGAGATTTGTTAGGGGCCATGTGTATATAGTCTCCACAAAAACATACGTGGCTGCAAGAGTCTGCCACTGACATCTGGCAATCAAGGCCCTCTACAGCCCTGTCAATATATGCAGCTGACCTGGATACAGAGGCACACTTACAACAAACTAGCATCCTAATAACAATGCAACACTCTAACTGGCTTAGATATTTAGAAATCTTAGAAATTTTTAAAGCAAACATAAACAGCATTTGTATCAAACACAAACAAACACAGCATTTGTATCAAACACATACAATTTCAATCAAACATTGTAGGACCTCTTGCGCATGCCTGTACTGACTCATGGTATTTTGTTGGTTTTTGTACTGTTAAAGCAGACGAGATTCCAACACATTCCATTTGTTTTAAATTGGCTTAATTTTTAACAGACATTCAATTTTTTATTTTGATTTATTTTTTGTGATTGTGTTCTATCAATAAAGCAGTGAGATTTGCCTGAAGGAGGAGTACAAAAATGTTTCTGCAGTGTATATATTATTGACACTGGACAATAGATTTATAGTGTGATTTATATGTCATCCAGCATAAAATGTTCTTTTTTGTCTCATATATTCAAATATTTAATTATGTTATAAATAAAATATGTATTCATTACATGCAATAAATATATTTAATATTGTACTCACTTTTGATTGACAAACTACATTATTACAAACTGAACAGTGACTTCCCAGTAATAAAAATAATTTGTGACCTTTTGGAGCAAATGGATCCTTGGCTATATAGGCATCTTCTGTAAAACTTTTAAAAAAGTTAATCAAGGATTTCTCCCACACCGGGTTATATACAACAAATATGTGTAGTCTTTAACCAATATCTGGCGTGAAAATTCCAAACTAATATTGGCAAACGCTTTCGATGCCCCTCCTGGGCTCTTCTTCAGGCCTGAAGAATGATTTAATTTGGCCTGAAGAAGAGCCCAGGAGGGGCATCGAAAGCGTTTGCCAATATTAGTTTGGAATTTTTACACCGGATATTGGTTAAAGACTACACAAAAAAGTTAATATTAATAAAATTTGATAAAATGCATTTTTAATTTTAATTACAGTAGAACCCCTCTAATCCGTCATCTTTGGGACTGGGGGTATGGTCAGAACGCAAAAAAGGTCAGATTATCAGAAAAAAGTAAAATAAACAATCTTCCCCTTTGTCCAGTCTTTGTAGCACTGCTAATTTTTCATTTAATGAAAGAGTAATGTGTTTACGTTTCACTCCTGACATGTTGAAAAACACACAAAATTGTATATGTACACACAACGTAAAACAAATACTGTAATGAACACAGAACAACGTGACAGTGAGTTACTGACAAGTCAGGACAAGTTTCTCGACTTCGACCATGGTCGGATTAACCGGAGTGACGGACTAGAGGGGTTCTACTGTATAATCAAAACAAGATTAGAATTTCATTACACTTAAAAATTCAATAGTAATTATAAACAGAAATGGAAGTACTACTGTTAATAATACAATATAGAATAATATTTCCTCTCTTTTCATAGAACATTTCAAAAAATATTTTAAAATTCTGAAATATTCTATAAATTTAAATGTACATGCTTGATTCTTTTAGCTCTATGCTCTACTTACTGTATTTTAAAAGTAATGAATAGGACCCAAATTGGGTCAAAACATTACAGCTTTTAATAAATGTAAATTTGGATTCCTTAAATAGTATTTTATGTTATTTATATATCTTTATAATTATTATTTAGTAATTAATATTATAACATAACTATCTAATTTTAAGAAAATACAGTTGAACCTGTCTATCTCAAATCTCACAGAAATGAGAGAAAGATCTGAGACATAAGTTTTGAGATATAGAAGTTCAAACACTGTAAACAGTAATAGGTTTGATTGGAAATACGGTATTTTATTAATACAATAGCAAGTAAAGTATTGTAGTTATACCTGTATTAGGTATAAATAAAACATTTTTGACATACCTTAACAGAAACAGTTTGTCAATAGTTTCCAATGCCTGACTTTCTTCAACCAATAAGACTCAAACCAAACTCATAGCCATTTCATTCATTCATTCATTATTTTATTGTACATAATATGCCTATATGTATATAAGTAATATACATACAGGCTGGCCCCGCATATAAGCATTACTGGTGAAACTCATAGCCAATGAGAAAAGCAATATTAATTATACCTAGGTACTCTATCTCAACTACAGTTTATGCTATCAAAATGTAGTCACCGAGCTTTGAATTTGTAATCGACACTTTGGTTCATAATTTGAGATATAAAAGTTTTGGGAGAAATTTATTTGAGAGAAACGTAGAAAATATATAGAATTTAAGCTGAAAATACAGGGGGAAAAATAAATTTTGAGATAAACATGCCAGAGATAGAAAGGTTTAACTGTATATTTGACACTCCAAAAAATAAACTGGCATAAAAATTAGAGTAAACTGATTATATTATATGAAATAATTTCACATAGTATTAAAAATATTTTATTTTATTGTATTTCTTTTCATAATAAACTAAATTTAATAGAACTTTTATATATAAAAGCATTAAAAGGCCATTATAAAAGCAATAAAAATTACTTTGTGTAAAACTTAAAAACAAGAAAAAAAAAATTAAGAAAACTAATATTTTCATTCTATTTTAGATCATTTCCAAACTCAAAATTAGCATTAACATAAAGAAACTGTCTTTGACAGCATTTACTCTAATATGAATACATATTTAATATGATATATTTGTAGATACTAACTGAAATAGATCAGTTACACTACCAACATTCAGATATATCATAGAACAAACTAAACTTATATTTATACAACAAAAGCAAACCTTTTGCAGGATAAATCAGATCAATTAATAGAAGTATTTTTGAATAAAATAAGAGAGAAATTGTACAATTAAATTTATTAACCCTCTTCTCACTCAAACAGTATTATCTGTAACATATTTATTAAGAAAAGCTTTTCAAATGTAAATTCAATTCAAACTATTTTTCTCGAATAAGTTTAAAAAGTTTTCAATTGAAGAAAAATAGTCTGGATTGGGTTATGTAAAACATAATAATTTAATTAACATGGAACATACCAGTGTTATTAATAAAAATGTAAGCATTGCTTCAACAGGTAGTAAGTGAATAACTCCCGACTGTAAATGTAACAATCTCTCATCAAAACTTAAAACTTCGAGATAGATATTATGCCAAAGAACCTGATCAAGCTACAATGTTGCTCAAATTTTAAATAAATGAAACAATTTAATAGTAAAATGGATACCTAATACTTCTGACGAAGGGTGATGATCTACCATAATAATGATATTTCTCATTCATCCCACATAGAAAACAAGTAAATATTTTTTCTGCTCTTTCAGATTCCATTTAACATTTCAATTAAATTTTATCTATGTGCACCGTCATGGCCGCACTTCCGGAATCTCGATAGCAAGCATCTTTTGAATTGCAATGTAGGCGGCGCTGTTAGCCAAAAAATCATGTACTATAAATAAGATTTATTTAATTATAAATTATAAATCTGCATTTTAAAAATTATATTACTACTTTATTTAATAAATTGATCATTAGGGAAGAATAGGTTTAGGCTAGGTTAGGAGTTTGCTGCAGGCATAGAGGGCGGCGCAACGGCAGTGTACCGACGCTCGCACCAGCTTGTACCCACGACTAAGGAAAAAAGGTCAAATTCTACTTAGATAGACCCAATGGCTGCATTTCCGACTGTTCGTGCTCCCGATGGACCTCACGGAGGGCAGCCGCCTAGTGTTTAACGTCACTGTGTATCGATTCACGGTAGTTCTTGAACAAAATTAAATAAAAAGAAAAAAAAGTCTACCGAAATACTACTAGTTTATCTAACCTAATCGAAGCGCCGCAATTGGGGCTACCTACGTAGAATTTAACTACTTGATGATTACATTTTCAAATGTACCCACAAACCCCGCGTTTCTTGTACAGTGGAAATATCATGTCACAAAAACAGGTGTGGATTTGATGCACTGAGTTCGATAAAGGCAGGACAGATGTGCAAACTGAATTGTTATGGTGCTTCAAGTGGGAGGTACTGGAACATCCTCTATAGTCCCAACCTGGCACCCTGTGATTTCCATCACTTCGGACCATTAAAGAATTATCTGGGTGATAGGCGATTCCAAACTGATATGGAAGTTCAGCAAGCCGTCATGGTGTGGCTGAAGCGACTTGACGCAGATTTCATCTCTGCCGGCATCGATGCCTTGGTATTTAGTTGGAATAAATGTCTGGACAAGCATGGTGACTATGTTGAAAAATAATATATACCAGTGCCACAATAATCTGTATCACTATATCTGCCTGTGAAATAGAATTTGTACAAGAGAGCTCTTGTTACCTTACTTTTTTGAATCACCCTCGTATTATAACTTCCGGGAATGTAACCCGTGTTATAACAGCCAGGATACATGTAAGAGTCAAAAACTTGAATTAGTTTGGATGCTACATAACCCTCCAAATAGTGTTGGATGGGGAACTAAAATTACAATCACATTATTTATTTATTAATTTTTAATATCAGGCAGTTAAAAATAACATACATTATTTTTATATATTATCGGATATTAACACGTTAGTGTAAGGACTTTAAATCTCTCTCTATCAATATTAACATGTTCGAGTATTGATTGATATTTATCATTACAAGATATAATGATAAATCTCCAAACAGATTTTTTTAAAATTCTTTTCGTCCTGTGGGCACTAAGAGGGTCTCGTTTAGCAAGCCCATTATGGGTTCGATCAGGCCCACAATGGGACGGCTGGATGATGAGGGACGGGGCCCGACATATCCGGACCGACCACCCCCAAAAATTTCTTGGGGATTTCTCGACCCATCCGGATTCGAACCCAGTCCCCCAGAGCGATGGCCAGATGGCCATCTCTCCAAACAAATAATGAACATTAGTGACAAAATATTTCGGTAAAATTAAAGGATAAAAATATAATTTAAATTTGAAATTTTAAGAAATTTTAAATTAGGATTAATTTTCAATATCATTATTATTGAATTTCGCCAATGTCTAAAATAGCCTAACGCAAGAACTATTCCTATGCATTTGTGCAAGCATCTTTTCAATCTACTAAAAATAATTTCTAAAACATTTTTCCTTTAATTGAATATATTTAATATATTCAATTAAAAAAAATTAAAGAATGGCTTTTTTTAATAATTGTATTTGCTGGTCCTAGGACAATTTTTATACTTTAAAATAAACTGTTGTTACCACACACAAAACAAAATAATAGTAAACATTGTTTTTTTTATTTACTTTATTATAGATGCATTGAAATAAATTAATTCTTTCCATTTGTGGGCACTAAAAAGGTATTTTTTCCCAGGACAATCATAGATTCGGCCAAGCCTGCAATGTAAGCATTTGTGTAATGAGACGAGGCCCGCTATATCCGGACCATTTTACTCCTGAAAAATTTCAAAAGGCCTTAATTAAAAATTGAACTACTGAAAAGTTTCTACTGTATTCAAATATGCTTCCGCACTAGGGCCGGAGATACGTACAAATTTTGTGAGAGATTTTGACAAGGGATGAGAAAATGTTAGCATAATAATGATGCCCTAAAGATTATCAAAAAATTTTCTGTTTGAAATAATTTTTTACCAAAATTATGATATTACACAGAAAAAATTTGATCAGTGATCACAGAGCAAGTTCTTGCTTTTTTACCTAGCACAATTTTACTTTAAAGCGCTGTACTAAATATGCTGTTGGAAGTGCTGTAGTAGTAGACTTTTTAATACGAAAGAATAAAGGCAACAATTTAACATTTACAGATACGGAGTACAGTAGTTCCTGTACTTCCAATTTAATTAGTTCCAGCAGTCTGTTCGAACTCCGAATCAATTTTTCTTATTAGAAATAATAGAAAGTAAATAAAACCGTTTCCAGACCCTAAACAATACCCATTTCGATAAACTTAAACATCAAATTGAAAAAAGTTTAAGACAAAAAATAACACAAATGCCTCAAATAATAAATTAAAACACAAAAGTAAGGGCAATTATTTATTGTGACATTGACACAATGCCAGGCTGAAATTTTTAATCATTTTTAATTAATTTAATTTAAAATATATGCTCTCCACCTCAAATTAATACTGTAATGTCTTGCCCCTGTATATCATACTTTTCCTTTAACAATACAGTCGTGCCAGTCATCTATTAACTGTTTTTAGGGAAAAGTATTGAATTGAAATAACATGACCTCCGGTTTGCATCATAAGTTCGTGTATAGTTTATCGAGGCCTCCTGCCCTAAGGTTTCCATATCTGGTCAGATCTTTCGTCTATCTAACTTCGTTCTCGAGATTGATTCAGGAGGGACAGCCGGACAGACGACAGTGGGAATTTACAAGTTTACAATTTTTTCAAATTGCAGCCCAATAAATAAAATGAAAATGCTTAATATATATTTTTTGTCAACTTGGACATTAATTATTAATAGAACAATTATACTGATTTTTAAGTTTATACTCAAGAATTGAGGAAAAAGTTCTTAAAGAAATTCTGTTTTCTTTGCGAGCGCAACGATATTATAGATAACCTATTGTAAAATATAATAAAAATTTAAGAACAAAATAGAGTCCACATTCTGAAATTAATATTTTCTAAACATGAAATACATATTTTTAAACTGTTTTCGCCCTGTGGACCCTAAGAGGGATTTTTTAAGCAAGCCCATTATGTGTTTATCCGCATGAAAATGGCTAAACTCAGCAGGTTTTCTTTAAAGAAAGTCTATTTTCTTTAAGAACTTTTTCCTTAATTCTTGCGTATAAACTTAAAAACCAGTATAATTGTCCTATTAATAATTAATGTACAAGTTGACAAAAAATATATATTAAGCATTTTCATTTTATTTATTGGGCTGCGATTTGAAAAAATTGTAAACCTGTAAATTCCCACTGTCGTCTGTCCAGGTGGAAAAAAGTTGAATCTAATTTATTCCGACTAAATATAATAGTTACTGAGGGTCCAAAATAACGCAACCTAAAACGAAGAGATATCGTGAAATACTATAGATTTCTGTACTTCGATTATAATTGCATCAGATAGATATATCAATGCGTCAAATTTAAAACGTCATGCACTAATGACGTTTTAATCTTTATTTCCTAAAATTTTTGTTAGATCATTTGATTCCGTCATATAAATAGCTTATTTACTCAATAGGCATTTAGATTATATCTGGTAAATAATACCTGATCACATGTGACATTAACAACTTATCTGTTTTATATGTTTTTATCTATATTCACGAAGTAGAAACTTATCATATCCCCCATCTACATCCTTTATCTGTGATGAGACTATCAGAAATAAAATATCAAATAGATCTATAGGTAGATAATAAAATATTACAATAGAAATTCTATTTAATCCGAAGAAACTAAATTATTATTCTGTTTAAAAATAAGAACTTTTTATTCCAAATGTTGCAATTTCACTAAACTGCTTTTAAATGTAGCTTATAATATTTTTAACATTATATAATACAGTAATATATTATAAAATAACATTACATAATTACATTTATTTCTTTATTACATTAAATGAGAGATTTAAACGTTACTGGTCAAACTAATCCTAACATAGGGGAAGTTTTGTTTACGTGACAGTGTCCTGTTTCGTTCACGTCATTATAAAGATATTATATTCTTTCATAAATGTTTCAAATAATTTATTTCTTAACAAACAAATAAGTTATTATATGTTTGTATTAAAGTATATCAAAAACGCTTTGATTTATTTTATTATCGATAAAAATGTTGTTTTTAATATAAGTACTTTAATTATTTAAACATGGAATTGGCGGTATAATTATGATCATTTTGTAAGAATGTAAGCAAATTTCTTATAAAAAATAAATTTTATTTACAATTTTCCGAAAAATACGTTTAAATAATTCAAAATATTTGCGATAAATGGCGGTTCATTATTCTTACAAAAAAAAAAATCAAAAAATACTTTTATAAAATATAAATGACTATTTTGAACTAGAAAATTCAATTGTCTGCTATAAGTAATAGATATGTATATATCCATGGTGCGGTTTACTTTATATTACTTTTAAAAAATCAATTTTTCAAATATATTTCCTCAAAATTGATAAAAAAAACTTTATGGGTTAATTGTACCTAAATACAAAAAAATTTTCAGTAAGCATGGTGTTACACTAGCAGCCAAATTGAAAAATAAAATTAAAAACAACATCAACACCAATAAGTTCAAAAATAACGAAATACTAAACCAAGCAGGTGTCATATACGAAATAAAATGCACATGTAAGAACCCAGCAATATACATTGGCGAAACAGGAAGACAACTCGGTACCAGAATTAAAGAACATAAAGCAGCAATTAGACTTAATTATAACCAATCACCGTGGACAAATC